TAATTAAAAATTTCTTTGCAATAATTAAGTCATATGGTTAGCCCAATTAACCCCTTGTGCCTAGAAAGTGTTTTTAGTTGTTCTACTGCACAAAAGGACTTGCAATCTAAGTTCCACTCCTACTCTAGCATGGCAATTCTATGAATGTAAGAACAAGAAGTGAATTGCTCAAAGTAAATGCTCGAAGCAAATGCTCAATGTAAATCGACAGGGAGGAAGAACGCGACGATGTTTTGCCGAGGTATCGGAGAGTCGCCACTCCCCACTAGTCCTCGTTGGAGCACCCACGCAAGGGTGTTGCTCTCCCTTGATCCGTGCAAGGATCAAGTGCTCTCTACGGGTTGATTCTTTGACACTCCGTCGTGGTGAATCACCCACAACCGCTCACAACTTGAGTTGGATCATCCACAAGCTCTCCGGATGATCACCAAGCTCACAATCACCACCAAGCCGTCTAGGTGATGGCGATCACCAAGAGTAACAAGCACGAACTCTCATTTGACCACGACAAGCCTAGGGAGAAGGATGGATGCACACTTTGCTACTCTTGATCTTGCTAATGAGGGCTCTCTTTGGGATTCTCAAATCTCAATCACCTCACTAGGATCTTGCTCTTCTTGACACTCTCTAAGGTGTGTTTTAGCTGTTGAAATGAGAAAAAGTCACCCCACACATGAGTGGAGCTTCTATTTATAACATGGGCTAAAAAATGAACCGTTATGTGCCACTACGGGGTGACCAGACGCTACGGTCAGTTCTCCCCGAGTTCCAGTTTTTATAGAGTGACCGGACGCTGACAGCGTCCGGTCACGATTTTCCCTCTCTGGAACCTTACTATAAACGATCGGACACTGGCTCTCAGCGTCCGGTCACTTGACCTTCCAGCGTTCGGTCGCACCGAACGCAATCTCCTCGGTCAAATGAACTGACCGGACTCTGCGCCAGCGTCCGGTCGCACCGAAGCCAGCGTCCGGTCAGTATTTGACCCTCCATTCACTTCCAATTCTCGATCATATGTGAATGAAGTTTGCTCCATTAGATCTTAGACATATGTAGGAGCTATCTAGCGCTAGTTTTAACAAGTGTGCATCACACATAACTCACTAGACTCATCTAGGTCAAACTACCCGTCCATACCCCCCTTAATAGTACGGCCAAAGGAAAAACAAAGTCCTAAACTACTCTAAGTGTCTCTCCAACTCCAATCGATACTTAGAACTAGTCCATCCTTAACCTTGTCGTCCATCCTTTGAATTACCATGACCTAACTTAATTGTCTCTGCAAAACACACGTTAGTCACAGTAATCTTATATTGTCATTAATCACCGAAACCCAATTAGGGGCCTAGATGCTTTCAGTTGCAAAAGTAGATCGGGATGTTGCATATATTGCAGGTGTTTTAGAGGCATGTTGGAAGCGTTTGTTTAAAATGTTTCAGCCGTTTCAGTCTTATGTTGCAATAAGTGCTTTCACGTTGCAAGTTGCAAATGTTTTATATGGATGTTGCATGTGTTTCACACTCCTGTTGCAAGTGTATGTTCCAAATGTTTCACGTGCTTCAGACGTATGTTGCATTCAAGTGTTTCATGTTGCAAATGTTTCATGTTTCAGAGGTATGTTTAGAGAGTTATAGGGGCACGGTCCGGGTGTCGAGGGAAGGGGCATGGCGAGCAGGGGATGGGCTGGCGGATGGGGCGCGCGGTGCGCCTAGGGTCCTGTGGATGGGGTGTGCTCATCCTCATCCCGGCTCCTGGGTCCTGCCCGTGCGGAGAAGGTGCAGTGGGCACGGGCGGGCGAAGGCGAGAGGGGGGTACACGCGTGCGTGAGGCGGGGACGAGGCGGACGGGACGAGCAGCGGCAATGGCAATGAAGCAGTGCAGCGGCAAAGCGGCGAAATTTGGCGAATCAAGCCGGGTCGTGCGATGGTGTTTTCTGACGGGCCGTTCTGCTAGGCCATTTGGTGGGAGTGTGCACTTGTTACCGTCCGACGAAATCCTATCCCATCGGACATCCGGGAGCCAGCAATTCCCTTAGGATCGGACTAAAAACTCAGAGGTGAAGAAATATTCTTATTACAACACCTTTAATCTAGATGACTCTGATTAGGATTGGACTAAAAACTCATGAGTGAAGAAATATTCTTATTACAATACCTTTAATCTAGATGACCCTGATTTTTTTTTCTTTTAACATGGTCACAAATTTCGGTGTAGAAGAGAAGTTTTTTTATCCGGGCATGATATAACAAAACGGTAAAAAAACATTTCTCCCGTAAGAATAGGAAATAGTATCCCAACAAGAAACTGTTTTGCGTTACAAGACCAAACCTTTTGTTGTCGTTGTACTGTAAAATCCCAACCTCTCTACCACGCGGCATTGCAGTCGATGCTCCTATGTCGCCCAATGAGCCATTCCCTCCGGAGACCACCGGTCCTGCACCGCCACAACGGCCAAACGCGGGCACCGGCGACGACTACGGCATCGACGGAGTCGCATGCACCGCCCTGTGCTCGTACTTCCCGCGATTCTCAAGGAAGCCGCGCCCGGTGAAGCTCAGGAAAAGCACGCGCAAGGCGGAGGCGCCGATTGCTCGCCGTGTCACCTCATGGTGGCCGTGGTCACCGTCCCATGCTGCCGCGGCCGGGTCGTCGACGTCGGATGACGATGATGGGTCGGCTTCGTTGAAGCACTGGGGTCGATCTCAAAGCCGATCCCAGTCGTCCCGGGTGACGCCACGGGACTCGTCCTCCTCGTCGTTCTCCTTCCCGTCGTCGCCGGCGTGTACGTCTTCGTTTATGAGCACTCCAAAGCTAGGGCAGGGTAGTTGAGCAGAGGATGCAGAGTATATTGCTTAGTAAACATGAGATCCAACGGTGCCTGTAAATTTTACGCGTTCGATTTGTGTAACATTTGTGCGGTTGTTTACGGGTCGTCCTACAATGAATCGTGTCCCGAAGAGAAACTTGTAGGTCTCCAACTCCAACTCTTCCAAAAAAACCTAGAAAATCGGATCTCGCTTGGTATTGCTAGCCTGCCTAGATGGACATCCTAAACTTGTACGTGCCAAGCATGTTCCTTTATCAGGTGGAAAAATTGCGCACGCGGCTAGCGCGGAGCATGATGTCGTCGCCGGAGAATCCTTCACCATGGCAGGAGGCCCAGATGGACGTCCTCGGCATCGTGGTCCACCACGCCAACTCGCTCCCGGACACCGCCCGCATCGGCGCCGTCTGCCGCGCGTGGCGCCGCGCGGTGGCGAACCTGCACCCGCCGCTGCCGCCGCAGATCCCGTGGCTGCTGCTGCCAGACATCAAACTGTGCAGCTTGTCCTCCGACGGCGCCACGGCCGCCGGCCACCGCCTCCCTCAGCCCGACGCCGGCGGGGTGGTTCCAATCTGCATGGGGTCAACCTGCGATGGACCACGGACGGGTTGTCTTGCTCAAGGAAGAGAGCTGCTTCTTGCTGAACCCTCTCTCCGGGGCCACGAACCGGCTCCCAGATCTCCGCCTCGCCGGTCCGAGCAAATGGTTCCCCGGAGCCGGAACCTTCGTCAATGCAGCGTCGAATCCAATCAAGCCATCGCCGCCCCGCAAGGTAGTAATGTCCTGTCCACCTGACTCCGGCTCGGCATGCATCATGGCCGGCATCTCAGGTCTCGGGCTGTCCTGCGGATTCGAGCCGCTGTTGGAAGAGCTAGCACGTCATGCGACGCTCTTCCTCTGCCGGCCGGGGGATGCCACGTGGTCCGTGACCACTAGCCCCCGCATGTGGTCGAAAAGCGACATCGCCTTCCACAACGGCAAGCTCTACCTATTCAGCAGGAATACGTTTCCTCACATCTGCGCCTGCGACGTCGGGGAAGATGACGACGGCACGCTCAAGGTCACACGCGCCGAACTGCTTCCCGGGCCACGGCTACGCGGGGCCGGAGCCATGGCGTCCGGCAGCAGCGGGTTCTTCTACCTGGTGGAGTCGCGCGGGAAGCTTCTGCTGGTCCAGAGGGACTTCAGGGAGCGCAGGACGCATGCGGTCGCGGTCTTCGCCATGGACGAGAGCAGGGGCCGGCCGGAGTGGGCGAGGATTGAGAGCCTGAACGGCGAGATCGTCTTCCTGAGCGCCAACAGTTCCATGTCCGTCCCGTCGTCCCGGTACCGCGGCGCGCGAGGCGACCGCATCTATTTCAGCCAGGAGATGTACATGACCCTCGACGGGTGCACACGCCGCAGGGACCGCCCTTATCAGCACTGCGAGGTGTTCGACATGAGGACGCGCACGGCTGAGACGCTTTGCATGGGGACGGCTCCCGGTCACGAGGCCTGGTGCACCGGCCCGACATGGTTCGTTGCTTGTCCGCCGTTCGCTTCGTCTGCATCTGCAGTTCTTTGGGTGAGGACCGAGGAGGTATGATTTCAATCTACTACTATGAATGTGAGGCAAGGTTTCTCCAACTAGTTAATTTCTGAATCAGATATCTGTAGCGTGATTTGTATACTGCTCTGCGTTCTGTTATTCTTTGCCCGTGAAACGATGCAATTATGACTAAGATTACATATATATAAACGATAATGCTCTCCGCGCTCCACAGTTCACGTCGCCGGCTCCCACTCGTCGCACGCCCAATTCTCGTTTCCAACGCGCCCACCCGCCGTGGGCACTGCGCCCCATCTTTCGCGAGCGTTCTCCAGCACAGGGGCACCACGGCGGCGGGCACCACACCCCCTCTGCCGCGGCGGGAGGGTGCACGGTGCGAAACGTTGGGGCGCGCAAAACACATGCCGTGAGCTTCTTTCGTGTGCGGCGTGACCTCCCGCGCAAAGGACCGGAGGCGTCCGATATTTTGGAACGGCTCCGGACGTCCGGGCACCAATAACGCCTGGATATAAACGACAAAAATACCGAGCATTTGAAGCGGAACAGGAAAATGACGATGTCGATTTCATACAGCAATACAATGGACTAATCATGCGTGCAGCGTCAAGCAGCCGTCACACGATGCTGTCACGACAGACAGCCGCCATTCGTTGCATTGCACGCTGGCACCATCACCGATTCACCCTGCGGCGCGTCACGGGATGGCATCACGAGAGGCCGCGGCACGCTAGAACAACAGGACGCAGACAAGAACCTCAGGAGGTGCGGCGACCGAGGCTCGCTGCTGGCGTCGACGCCGGGTGCCAGGCACGACGCCATCTTCTTCAAAGCGCCCCCTCGCTGGCCGTCGTCGAACACGAACGCGGCCGTGGCAGGCGTCGTCGCCTCGCTGTCAGCGGCGACGCCGCCAAATCGTTCGCCGGCCCTTATCAGCTCCACGGGCAGGTCGAAGCACGAGGACGGGCAGTACCCATGGATCGCCGCCTGGGCTGGCGCCTGATCCACTTCCTCCACGACGAAGTCGAAGACGATGTTGTTGCGGGAGTAGAGCGACGCGCACTCAGACTTCTCCAGCGACGCGGCACGGCTCGGCGCGTACGGGGCCTCTTGCTGCTCGGCAGGCCGGTCCGGTGCCGTCTCTGCTGTCGGCGGGCTGGTGCTGATCGCCTCCTCCGGCTTCTTCTTGGACAGGCCCGGCAGGTAGAGGCACACGAGCAGCGCGCTGCAGGTGAAGCCCTCTCGGCCGGACTCGGCGTCGGGCGCCGCTCCGGACATGGCGCTGAGGGCTTGCCGCTTTGATCCGAGATAGGAATGACAGCTCCTTGATGCATGGGCGCGGGGGAAGTGGGTCCATATGCAGTAGTCGTGGCGGCGGTGGTGGAGGACCATGCCGCTGGACGGCGAGTGGGTGGGGGCATAGCGTGGCTCATGTCTTTCCCACTCGAGTTAGTCGTTGGGAGTTGGCATCCAATAGAGAACTGCATTGTATTTTTTTCTCGAACATGTAAGAGCATTACATACTATTTGTAATAAGAATAAAGAGAGTTTAAATTATAAATGACCTATATCGGCCTGGCAACATAAGCTTAAAGGGGATTACATAGGTGCTAAGAACTATCTGCGGACGCGGTTTGTCGTCGTGTTCTATCCTGCTCCCTACGTCGCCAAGCTGAAAAGTCCTGAAGCTCCGATTTCTGCCAGCGACCCGCTAACCGCAGTGCCAGTACCTTAGAGATTAGCTTGGCAAAGATGTGTATCATAGTGATCGGTCTAAAGTCTTCCGGACAGCTTGCACCAACTTTCTTTGGCAGTATCAAGTTGTCGGATCCCAAGGGCTGAAGGATTTAGAGTAAGACCGTTTCCAATAGGTGACACATATGGACACCTAAACTCAAAATGGGTAGCAGAAGATCTAAAATCAGCTTCCAATAGAGTATCTATATGGGAGACCCATTTTGGGTTGTCTGAGAAACACAACCTAAATATGAGTATTCTCTCTCCTGAAAACCCATTTGCAGAAATAATTTTTTTTTGGGTCCTGTTGTTGGAGAGGATGTCGAATGGGTATTGAACCATTTGACTATAGCGCTACCCAAACATTGAATATGTCTTGTATTTTAAATGTTGCTGTTGGAGATAGTCTAATGGCTCTTCCCGGCGCCGTCCCGAAGACTCCGGAGAAGTGTGTGTGCAGGGTGCTCTCCATGCCTTCAGCCTTCATGCTCAGTGACGACATGACCGTCGACCGTGAGCGAGTTTATGTAATTTCTCCGCTTCCTGCCCCTTGCAATCAGGTGGAAGTGGCTGTGTTGGCATTCCCCTCGCTTAGCTGCCTGACACGGGACCTTTGCATCGCATTTTTAAGGCCATGTTCGTTTCGCTGAAAAAATAACCCAAAACATATTCCGGCTGATTTGTTGTGAGAGAAAAATACTATTTTGATTGAAAAAACGAGCTGAAAAATACGGATTATAAGAGAAGCGAATAAGGCCTTATTCTCTTACGTAGTTCGCCCACGTGCTCAGGCAGCTATCTAGTTTCTTGTGCTCTGTCTAGCTGGAGTACAAGCTCTCTGGCCATGAGCAGCTGCTCCCTGATCCCTCCAATCATGGTGGCCGACCATCTTTGCAACTCGCGCACCAACTTAGGTAACATAACGTCGAGCCGCGTAATGGGGGCAAGGATGTGCCGGCCGCGTCCACGCTGCGGATACCGTGTCCAGGTAGTCATCGAATTTTGGCCAGAAGGTTTCGAAGTGGAAACGTGCCTTTGACATAGCTCCCAGGCAGGTGTGCAGCAGGAGCGGACAGTGGTCCGAGGCATCGGAGCCGAGGCCGCGCAGGTGCGAACTGGGAACAACTCGTCCCAGTCTACGGATAGCAGCACTCGGTCGAGGCGGACGAGCGCGGTGCATTGCATTTAGCCTGGATTTGGATCGTTGACTCGATTTGGGTGTACATGCTGCTTTCGGCAACTTGCAGATTTCATCAGTCATACCGCTTCTGAACTAGTACTACCATTTCTGGTCCAGTGAAACCATTGTGCATTTGTGCATTGCAAAAAAACACTTTTACAAATTGCAAGACTTTTTCCAAGATTTGGTAATCTCAGTTCTTCTCTACAATTAGTTTAGCTCTCGCATGCCCCGCCTCAATCCTATACTGCTCGCCTACCCCAAAGTGCGCCATCAAGAACCAAACGACCGTGAGCAGCTCGCCACCGGCGCTCAGCTGCTTGGCGTGGAAGTTGCTCCGGCACTTGTTCGCGGCGTAGCAGAGCATCTCCACCCACACCACGCGGATGACGCGCCACCGCTTGTGCGGCTGCAGCTCCAGCAGCGACTTGGCTAGCCGGCACGCGTCGAACAGCACGGACTTGCTTCGGTCGCCCTTCACGTCCCTCGGCGCGATCTCGGCGTTCACGTCGAGCACCATCCTCGCCGCGGCCCTCGCGTCTGGGTGCGCCATCTCTGCCCGCGCGAAGAAGTTCTTGGCCTCCGCGCAGGTGTCGCCGAACCGGATCTGCCCGATGCCCGCGGTCAGCATGAAGGGGCGCGCGACGAGCAGGAAAAGCATGTAGTTCGATATCGCCCGGCTGATATCAACGTAATGAGAGATCTTGGCGGCGTTGTCGCCGTCGCCATCCTCTGAGTGGAAGCAGAGGTCTGTGGCTATGTGCCAGAGGAGGATGCTCTCGTCGAACTCCACCTCCACGCTCCAGCCGAGCTCCTTGTAATAGCCCTTGCACTGCAGAGCCCACTGGCCCCTGTGGTTGCTGAACTTGCGGTAACTCTCGGCGTCCACGATGCTCACCGTCTTATCCTTGAGCTCCCTGAAGACCAAGACCTTGAGCTCCGGTGACACGTCGATGTGCCGGATGTACAGCCAGCTGTCCCAGTGTACTTTGAGACCGAGGACGCTCAAGACCTTGGTGAGCATGGTTGGTTTGTCCAGGAGGCAGAAGCTGATGAGATTGTGCTGGGCCATCAAATTGGACCACTTCGCCCGGCTTTCCGGCCGGAAATACTGAATGCTCCGGAACACCAGGCTGCCCAGTGACCGGCAGTTGCAGTCTTGCAGAGCGGCATATGTCCAGTAGGATATAAGCATCATCCCAATGGCATACACCTCCAGGCAAAGCGCTCCTCCAAACAAAATGTTAGTGATGCAGACATCGATGCGGTTGTATGATTTGTGTTTACCCTTGTCAAGCACGTTGAAGAGGATGCAGGCCGTAGACGTCGAGAGGAGCGTCAGCCACCGGAACAGGCGGCCGTACCAGGTGTGTATCACTGCCGCCTTGGAGTGAAGGGTGTCGTACATGAGCGACAGCTCGATCTCGATGATCTTGTACGCCTGCTCTGGCGTGAGCCGCAGGAACGTGGCCTGGCTCCGTGTGCGCTCCTGGAAGCTGAGGATGAGGTTGACGAAGAGTCGCTTGAAGATGACAAAGAAGTGGCTCGCTTCGGTGATGACCGTCGTGTAGGGCACGCTCTCCTCTGCGACGGCCACGGTCACGGCAGCGGCAGCCTCCGCGCGCCGCTCCTGCTCGATGACGATCTCCGCGTCGAGCCCCGCCTCACGCGTGAACCGGTACTCCTCCATGAACTTGGCGTAGTTGGGGCCCGGATCCGGCGTCGTGACCATGCTGCTCCGCAGATTGTCCATGCTCGCGCACTTGAGCGCCCATGTCCTCTCGGCGTACTTGACGATACCACTCAAGAACATGAACACGGCGGGGACTAGGACGTTGGTGCCAGGGTGCGACTTGGTGAAGACATACACGGCGAGGGCAACCTGTTAGGCGTACGTGCCAAGAGACGGAAGCCTCGTTAGCTTGAGTCTGCCGGCCGGGCGCAGGGCAGAAAAATTTTGGAAGCACGCATGTGGCATGGCCCGTCGCGTATGTCGTACCTGGGTGAGGAGGCTGAGCAGGTGGCGCTTCCAGAGCTCGTTGTCTTCGGTGGAGAAGGCGGTGATGGTGTCCTGGCCGCCGAGGTGGAGGAGGAGGAACGGAGCCCAGAAGGCCTGGATGCGGTGGTTGCGCTCGAAGGACTGTGGGTCGACGTCGACGCCCTTGGGCACGCGCGTCTGGGAGAGGTACCCGAGCGCGTAGATGGCGATGGAGTCCGCGAGCAGGTAGGCCAGCCATAGAAGCAGGCTCAGCACGGCGGAGACGTTACGCTTGCGGATGCCGGCGGAGAAGAGGAGGAACACCTGGAGGGCGAGGCTGGTGAGCACAAGCATGCGGATCTCCCACTCGTTCCATGTTGCCAGCAAGCTGTCCACGTATGTCCAGTTCGCATCCATTGTTGATTCTTGATTGCTAGGAAGATTTTATTCCCATCCCAAGATCAGTACATCGAGGTCCGTCCTTTGCCTAACTGTCCAAAGAAATCAAGTCGTCTCTGGGGTCAACACTAGTGAGTGGTGACCACCGGGCGACCGCCGATGTGACCATGGCTTGTCCTGAGTCAGTCTCCGTTTTACTGGCTACGCGTTTTGCGATCACTGGATTGAGCTGCTACGCCAAGTCGCTGTTACCGATAGCGAGGGGTATACTATGAGATGAATCGACGGAGGTACGCGTGATACGAAATAGCCAGTAACAAAGACGTAAGACATAAGATTTATATAGGTTTTGGCTGTCAGCACGACGTAAAATCCTATATCCTTTGTTCTATTATTTTGTATTGATTGTGTATCATATTTGATATATCGTCAAGGAGACCTCTGCTTCTTCTTATATACTCTGGAGATGTAGGATTACAAGAAAAATATCCTATTTGGTATTATACAATAAATCATATCTTCATGTAGTCTTGCGAAGCATGCTTTGATCTTGTGGGCTGGACCACCTTTGGGGCGCGGCCCATGTCTTGTCTTATGGATATCAAGGGACATACCCTCACAGCTAGTCCCCGAGCGCCTTGTATCCTTTGATCAACGCTGTCTTGAATAAGTCTGAGCAGTTTGACGTGAAGCCGATCAGTTTAACTGGTGATCCGAGCAGTGGAAGTCGAAACCGACCAGTTTAACTGGTGACCTGGGCGGTGAAAATTAAAGCCGACCAATTTAACTGGTTAGGAGACCTCGGACTTAGCCAAGTAAGGCTTGCTAGAAGGATGTAAGGGGCTCAAGATAAAATTTGAAAATTCTTCTACTTAGAAGAAGTGTAGCCACTTAGACTCCGTCAATAAAGAGGGTAAATAAAAAAATAAGCACTACATTCACCGCTAGATGAAGTATAGCCACTTAGTACCCGAGCCTGCTGGAAGATGAAGAATGAGTCTTATAGCAGGGTCAAAGAAAATAAATCTGAAAGCTTCCCGACGTCATCTGACATGCGTGTATCAAGACCCTGACGTGCTGTCCAAGATCAGCACCCTGATCCGAACAGCACGGAGCAACTTGATAGCACACCGATGAGACGTAGCAAGATCCGACCACCAAGAGAGTCCCCAGCTTAGCTGGCGACGCTTGCACTAAGAATCCGAGCACCGAGGAGTCCCTGGCTTAGTTGACGAGTCCCCAACATAACTGACGATGAAGCCCATGCGATGAGTAGTCCAACTGACTGGTCGGCGGCGGAGTAAGCGCCGAGCAGGAGTGAACGCCGAGCAGGAGTGAGCGCCGAGCAATCCGACCAGTTGGTTGGCGGTAACGTCCGTTCGATAGGTGGTCCGACCACCCAGACGATGATCATCTTGTCCAGTCCCTGAGCGTAAGCTCGTTGACCGAGCCGTGCCCCTACGAAACAAATGTGTAGAATATGTAGTATATGATGTAAAAATAAAATATATGAACTCCGGAGAAGAATCGGCAATGGTGACGAAATAACGTATGTAGCTCGGCGATCAGTTGGTGTGAACACCTATTGTTATTCTGAAGATGTATTTATGTTTAATATAAACCATCCGACCAGTTAGTGTGTAGCTGAGCCTCCAGCCCTAACTAGCCTGTTAACCATAACGCGGAGCGCGGGGTCCGTGTGCGTGTAAGAAGACAAAGCGTTGCTAAGGAGCCGCTGTCGACCACCCATAACGCAGAGGGCAGACGCTCTTTCACGTGTAGAGAGGAGCCGGAGACAGGGCCGTCTCTGGGACATCCGAGCGTCAACATGATTGTGCGGGGATTTGCCTTAGACTTAGCTGTATATCATCTTTAAGATGGTATACATGAAAAAATCGCTTGGAAAACAAACATGGAGAAAACAGCTCGGAGAAACATCATGGCGATATATGAAGATTGGAGAATATTTAGAAGAATATTAAAGCATGACTTAGCTTATGTGAGGTCAAGCGGAGGTGGTGACCGATCAGCTGCTGGAGAATCGCTTCATGGATGACATACATGTATATGCATGCATTGCTTCAATCTAGTTAGCCTGCCATATGTAGATCCAGTACGCCCCCTTTTTCGTTGCTGGTGTTTACACCAAAATTTGGGGAGAATAACGTGGGAACTCGAAGCTTCCAAGATTGTGTCATCAAGGAATCGATTGCATAAGAATCGATATCAGCTGATTCAGATGCAGCACTGGAATCAGCTCTCTTCGAATGACATCAACATATAACAATAATGAGCCACGGTTGACGTCGGAAAATACATATCGGACTCTAAAAAAGAGAAAGATTATGGTTCAAGTTATCTTAAGTTAGAAATGTTTTCTTTTATACCAAAGATTGTAATGAGTCATACTTGAATAGGATTCATACTTAGGTTCCGGGTATAAATATTGGACCCCGACTATTGTAAAGAACACCCAATCAATCAATACAAGTTACTTTTTTTGGCTTTACGTCAACCCTTAGGAGTAGGAGTAGTATAGATCTCGACGAGTTCTTCAACAAGCAGGGCCGCATCGGTCCGGCCGACCTTCAGCTTGTCTGTAAGTACCGTCATGGCTTATACTTCTGTTTGTACGGCTATATCGGTTAAGTTCGATCTCCACTGCGAACTCTAGTATAAGCTAGTTATCGACTCTTATCTCGTTCAAGTATGGCTGCATCTGTTAAATTCGACCTCCACTGCTCGAATTAGATTAAAGTTAAGTTATCGGCTCTACCTAAGGGTGGCGTCCTTCGGGTAGATTCATTAAGTTACCGATCTTGCTGATGTTCTTATTGTTATTAGTTTCAGCAACATCAATCTGCCCGATCGAGATCGATCTAGATCGGTGTCGGTGTTTCGTACAAGCACCGGCAAGTGAATTTATAGTAATGCGCGTTAGGCTCGGATGGTGCGCTAAAGGACACAGGATTTATACTGGTTCGGGCGAAACGTCCCTACGTCCGGTTTATTTTTGCTTCGTGTTATTAGTAACCGTAACGATCGTAGTAAGGGATACAAAGCTGCCGAGAGAGGACTGGTCCCAAGTCTCGATCGAAGGATTGAAAGGTGGTCAAGAGCTTCGTGGCTGCTTGAATGTGTGTGAGTCGTTCTATTGTTTTGTCCTCTTTTCTTTTCGTCCCCTTGATAGAAGAAGCGCATCCCCTTTTATAGGCGAAGGGGCGGCTTTACAAGGGTAAGGGCTCGGGGCGCGTACTCTACTTAGTCTTGTGGCTCACGTCTACTAGTCAGGTCCTCCACCACGATGAGTGCGAAGGAAGATAAGTGTTTACAATGTTGTCGATGTCTGCTGCGAGGATGTCGGGTTAGTCACGAGAATCTTGCCTGCTTGTGAGGTATGGGCTGCTGATGATGATGGTTTTGACTTATGAGCCTCCCCGACCTTGCTCGCTTGCATATACGGTTCTCATGAGTCCTCGTTGGGAGAATCTTGGGGTCGGGGTCGGTGTGCGCCGTGGTCAAGGCCTTATTTGGGAGGACTGAGGGGTCGGGAAAGCGGGCGCCGCTCCCTCGGGTCCACCGTGTGGTGACGGAATACCCATCGTTCGTGGAGATAGCAAATCCTTTCTGGATCGTAGCGGTTGTCGTATATCTTCGTCGGGTTCCGTGTCCCAGGCTGAAAGGCGGCGCCTACAACTCTGAGGGTGAGGTGCACGCACTGTAATACCTTTTGGGCTCTGCGGCGCCGGAAGGGTCTAAAGCTTTAGTCTGTCGTTCCTGGCGGTCCCTTTTCTGCCAGGCGCGAGGTATGGTCGTTGGAGCCATGGTTGACCCGAACGTCTTGTCTCGTCTGTACCCATCATTATGAGGATAGATATCGATCGAGGCGAGGCTCGTTGCAGGCCGTCGGGTGGTGACCCCCCCCCCCGGGGGGTGGGCGAGGCAGGTCGTCCCTCGGCCCTCGGGCGAGACCGAGCCCGCCCTCAAGGCGTCAGGCGAGGCGGAGTTTATCCTCGGCCCTCGGGCGAGACCGAGCCCGCCCTATAGGCGTCGGGCGAGGCGGAGATTAGCCTTGAGCTTTTGGGGGGCGGCGGGGTTATCTACCAAGGCGTCGGGTGGTGACCCCGCCCCTCGGCGTCGTCGGGCGAGATGGAATTCATCCCTCGGCCCTCGGGCGAGACCGAGCCCGCCCTCAAGGCGTCAGGCGAGGCGGAACCGAACTCTGTCACTCGAACAAGGGATGACATGGAGCCCTTATGCATCTAGAAGTTTTTACGTTCGGTGGTCATCGGTTCCACCTTACAGGGTACCACTGGTATTAGGTCCCCGACAGTAGCCCCGAGACTCGGTGATTGGGGTAGAACCGCTTTGGAGGTGTTTTTTCTGAGTGGGTCGTGGCGTCCCGTTCTTTGAGGGGCTGATTTGGGGCCGTCCTCACTGGTGCTTACGCCCTTGGTGGCGGATTGTTCGTAGATTCCTTCTTAGTTAGGGCGGCGGCGTGAGTTCTTTGGGCCCTAGGTGGGCCAAAGAGAAAAAAGCAGGCCTTTGTGGCTTGTGCTTCCAGTGGGTGGAGAGTCCGGATTCGCTTGGGGGAAGGCGAACCGTCCACAAGAGATTTTTGGGATGAGAGGATAGGGACATGGGCGCGTGTCCATGACGTGTGTGGTGGCGTGCGTGGCGAACCCGGAGATCGAGGCGGGCGGTTGCCCTTCTCGCGTCCGTCGCCCCCTATAAAACCCATGGGTTCGCCCCGAGGTCCCGTGTTTCCTCCCCTTCCTTTGCGTTCGAAACATCCGCCGCCAATCTTCCCGACCTCTTGCGCCGCGCGCCGCCACCGTCGCCAAACTGCGTTTGTGTTTGACCGCCCGTTAAGCTCGCGCTTTGCCCTCCCCCCCTCTGCTTCAATGGGTTGTGGGGCAGATCAAGCATCACTTCCGGCGTCTGGAGGGCCTCGTCCGCCGTGGCCTTCTCCGCCCACTATCCGCCGTCCGAGAGTGGTTGCTCCCCGGCGGCGGTGG